AAAGAGTTTGAAACTTACACCTCTGTTTTTCACTAAATCTCAGAAAATAAAAATCAGTCTTTCCAATTAGTGGCTCTATGTCATTGAACAAATCAAATTTTCAGAATGAAATTTATAGGGTTTTTTTTCAATTCTAAAAGTAATTGTCTGCTGGGAGCCACACTGGCCTCGCTGGATGACAGTCACAGCAAGGAAATGGCATCGTTTGCCCAGCTCCTGCCATGAGGAATGAAAACTGGTATATCCTTCTGCTACTACTGGCTCGTGTTGGAAATGAGCCTGCTGGTATTGACCAGGCCTCACAATATTCCAGATCAGACCGATATTCCCCACACAGATTCCTCATAAGGAAAAGCATATTTCTGCCTCTGCAAATGAGATTTTAGCTGAAAACACTCTTGGGCAGAAATCATTCAAAAAGAGAAAGTCTAGGGGTACCTGGCTGGATCAGTCAGTAGAGCATTGACTCTTTATCTTGGGGTCAGGAGTTTGAGCCCCATGTTGGGCCCAGAGATTGTGTAAATAAATAAATAATGTTTTTAAAAAAGAGTTAGAAAATCTATCAATCTCTGCTGTCTGCACCTACTTCCAATCACCTTCATGGCACAACTTACATGTACAATCTTCAAAGGAGGCTCATATCCAACATGAGCCAGTAGTAGCAGAAGGAGATTCCAGTTTTGGTTTCTCATGGCAGGAGCTGTGCAAACACTGCCATTTCCTCGCTGTGACTGTCATCCAGTGAAGCCTGTGTGGCTCCCAGCACAGGTCATGTTCTCATAGTGTGTGAGATAGAGCCCCACATTGGGTTTTATGTTGACAGTACAGAGCCTGCTTGAGATTCTCTCTCTCCCTCTCTCTCGGCCTCTTCTCCACTTCTCTCTCTCTCTCAAAATAAATAATTAACCATTAAAAATGTATTATAAAAATAATTAGAACAGATCATTTCCAGCTCATTTTATGCTTGTCTTATTTCACTTATAAATTATGATGGAAAACAAATCTTAAGTAAAATATAATTGAAACATAAAGTACTTTTTTAAATGGCCAAAATGAACTCTGCTTTATATTTAAAGAACACAAAGTGGCTGATCATCAAAATATCTGTAAATAGAAATTAAAACATTAATAAGTTAATGGAGGAAACTATTTGGTTTCTTTCAGTACATACAGTAAAGGTGATGAATCTAAAGCATTTAAAAAATCACTTGCCAGAGGAGCATAGAGGTGAATTCCCTGAATTACATAACAATAATATACCAAAAAAGTCTTTAAAGTATAAAGAAAAAATATTATACACATATATATAATAAGGTGTTTCAGTTACCTATTCTATAGTATCATAAATCAACTATTTATTAATTTTTGTAAGTCCATGTATCCCTTGAGTATGTACTGTGATCTGGGTCAACTTGGTTGATCTCAGTTGCACTCCTTACATTTCAGTAGTTAGCTACATTTGTGGCTAGAGACTGCCTCTGCCAGGAAAACCTGTGACACACAACTGGCAGCTGGCTGTCTGTCTGATGGGCTAACAGGAGAGAACACACAGTGTGTTTTTCAGGATCCAGCTGGTTAGCCTTCTTCACACGGCAGCAGCAGGTTTCCAAGAGAGTAAGCAAAAGCATGCCAAGTTTTGTGAAGTGTATATTTGGAAGTGGTACAACACTTCTACTGCATGCTACAGGCACAAGTAAATCATAAGACCAATGCAAAAATTTGGAGGGAGGATATAAACTCCCATCTCATGATGGGAGAAGTGGTGAAGATGGAGATACAGAGTGGGCTCAGTCTAATAAAGAGAGAAGATATAAAATTGTCAATGTTAATATAAACATCTACAAAGCTAAACAAACTGTTAATATGCAATATAGAGAATCATTTTATGAAAGGAACAGGTGTAAATGATGATAATGTGGGGTACCTTCAACAAATGCATCTGAAGTCCACAGTAAGTACATACATACATACCTACCACCTACATATCTACAAGTACATGTAAGTTTTTTAGTTGAACTTGTATTTTGAAATAAGAAAAGTTACCAAGTTAATACAGAGAGTCTTTTGAATATCTATCACCATGCCTCTCACATTGTTAACACCTTACCTTACCATAGTATATTTGTCAAAACTAAGAAACTGACTTTGGTATATGTAGGAGTGCTGATGAAAGTGACTCCATCTTTGGTCTTTCATCTTGTTCATGTCTGCACAAAGACCTCCTATGGACTCTTGTGTTGCAGGCCCCTTGGGGGTTAATGTATGACCTGACCAAAATGTGGAAAGGCTTATTCTGACCTTCCCTCTGGAGCACAGAAGGCATCAGTTTAGATAAGTACCCTTTGACCTCATCACAATGATCCCTTCACTTTATAAATTCTGTGGATTAAGGTCCAGACTTTGAGGAGAATAGCTGAGTAGTGCCCAGATTGTCATTCTCTCAATTACCCCATCAGTAAATTACCCTGAATAAAACTCTATGTAAATAGTTTAGAGTAGCTTGCTTCATTTATCAGTCTCTAAGTGCCTTCTTGGTCTGGAGGATATTTTACCATCCTTCCTCCATATTCTAACAGTGTATTACTTTGAACGTTTAGGCTCCAGATTTTATTTGGATTTCACCTGTTTTTCTGTTAGTGTCTTCTTTCTGTTTCAGGATCCCATCCAAAATATCACATTGCATTTGATTGCCATGTGAACCTAGCCTCCTCTGGCCAATGATGTTTCCCCCTTCTTTTCTTGTTTCTCATCATCTTTACAATATTGATGTATGTGGTCCAGGTATACATGTCATTATAATCTAGGTCTATATTTTTCATGTTTTTAGACTGGAATTTTAGACTTTTAGAAAAAGTAAAACAGAGTTCTAGTTACATTTGTATGGAGACCACATGATATATACATGACATATTAGTGATTTTAACCATCATTACTTGTAGAAATGTTTGTCAAGTTTCTCTACTATAGATACTATTTTTAGATAATAAATTAACCCATATTAGAGGTAAAATAGGATGTGCAACTTTCTAATATGTTATTGCCTAAAACTCTATTAATATAGCCAAAATGTAAAATAAGATGGTATACAAATATATTTAAATATTATGACACAACAGAGATTTAAAAGATTTAGAAATTTTACCAAATAACTACATACTGTATCTTTAGATTTATTACAGGTCATTGTCTTAAATGTCCGGGTGTTGGCAACTGAAGTAATTTAATACTTAAAAATTACTAGAGCACCTGGGTGACTCAGCTGGTTAAGTGTTCAACTTTGGCTCACGTCGTGGTCCCAAGGTTCATGGTTTTGAGCTCTGCATGGGGCTTTGTGCTGACAGCTCAGAGCCTGGAGCTCCTTCCAATTCTGTTTCTCCCTCTCTCTGCCTCTCCCCCACTCATTCTCTGTCTCTGTCTCTCAAAAAAATAAAACATTAAAAATGTTTTAAATATTTAAAATTTACTCTTTTTAAATATACAATCGCCTAAACCACTGAGTACTTTGTTAAATTAATGTACATTTTTCTAATAATTTTTAGAATAAATATAAATATATTTAAATTTAAATTAATATAGGTATATTTATATTTTTCTATTTTTAACTTTTTATTTCTATTTTTAGTTTTAATTGGGTAGACAATTTTATGCATCTATTTTGTAAAAGGGGCATATTTGTGCTAATGAGCAGATTTTTAAATTTTTTTTTGTATCATCATCCTGCTAATTCACTGGCAATCTTAACTGAACACTGAATAAATAAGTCAGCTAAAAGGGTATCTACAGGGGATGATGTTTAGGGTTCACATTGAATAAGTCTTACTACATAGAGTGGTTAAAAAATGTAAGCGTAATGAACCTAGTAAATTAGTGATGAAAAAAAGTAAAAGAAACTAATGGATTCAAAAAATATTATAGATCATGACATGTTATTTCCAGACTATTAAACATGACTGTGGTGAGCAATTGCAGGTGCTTAAAATCCCCATGACTTCATAAAGCATTAATTAAATACTGAATGTCAGAAGAAAATCACTAACACTGTTTCTCAGAGAAAGGTGCGTGACCATCTTTATCTGTATTCCCCTTGGGAGACTGCAAAAATTGTAAATTTGTGTCCATTACCTGAGGTTTAATGAATTACAATACTAAGCAGAAGTGTCTGGAATTCTGACCAAATAAGTGATATCTCAGATGATCCTATGCACATTATGATTCACACTGCATTTGGGAAGAGAGACTGGCAAGAAAATTCTTCACGTCTATTCTGATAATTAATTTTGTGTATCAAATTTGGCTGGGCCTTGGTGTCCACATATGTGGTCAAACATTAGTCTAGATGTTTCTTTGGGGATATTTTTGGGTGAGATTAATATTGAAATTATGAATTTTAAATAAAGCAGATTGCCCACCATAATTTCAGTGTGCCTCATCCAATCAATTGAACATCTGAATAGAATAAAATGTTGACCTCCCCCAAACAAGAAAGATAAATCTGCCAGCAGATGGCCTCCAGCCTTCAACTGTAACATCAGCTCTTCCCTGGTTCTCCAGCCTGCTGGCCCATTCTGCTGATTTTGGATGTGGCCAGCCTCCATAATCACATGGGACAATTCCTTAAAATAAATCCAATTTTCTCTATATACTTCTTAATGTTCTATTTCTCTGGAGAACCTTGACTAATGCATCCAAGATGCACTGATTGGCCATCCGAGTTTATATTTACCTCACTTTAGCTTAGATTCTATACATAAGGACCCAGAAGATACTGAACAAAGGCCAATCCTCAGCCCTAGGCAGAACTACAAAGCTGAGGTGTCCCTTCTAAGTACCAACAGGCTACAGGAAAATATTCCTGCCCCAATCCCTGATCTTGGTTCTTTCTACCCTTGCTTTATCCCTCATATAAGAGAAAAGCTCTTTGCCTGATCTTCGAGATGCTTGCAGATTTTTTGTTTCAAGCATTCTTCTTGTTAAAATAAATCTCTTCTTCTTAATTCCAGATTTGGTTTGGTTTGGCGGTTTTCTAGTCCTGTGACTGCAATTGCAATGGGACCTCACGGACCTCTGCCATCTGTAAGTCATTTGAACTTTTCTCCTGTTCAGTAAATCAGGGATCCTTTGATGAGTTAAGCTCTCAAACCAGTGTCAAGGACATCGTATCTGTTGAAACGTGGTAAGGAATTACTTTGATTCTTTAGGGCAAAGAGACTTTTCCTTGATCTTTTTGTGCCTCTTCTGCTTTTCTTCAGCTCTCCAGGCTAAGAATTGTGTGAGAGAATGCTCTGGGCTCCTTGGCTTCCTGGTGATGGCATTGGATAAGGGAATTAATTGAATGGGATTACCTCATGTCTCCTTAAGGTCTTACCTTGGACTTAAGTATCTGTCCAAGATACTTAAGAGAAGAGGAGCACCTGCTCTCCTCTTCTCCCATTGACTGTATGGTCTACAGTTACAGTACTAGTTCTATTAATATCTGTAAAAATAACCATTTCTCTAAGAATAATTTAGAAGTAAAATGGCTTCTCTGGCATTGTTAGGATCTCCCTTTAATCAATAGTTTGCTTGTTTCTCATGTATATGGAGGCTGAAAAGTGACTTTCTCAATGTAAACTTAATCAGGCAATGCAGTAATTTCAACATATTTATCTGAGCTTGTTGAAAGTTTCAGGGCTAATTTGTCTTCTCAACTATTGCTCCCCTGCCTTCTACAACTTCAGATGCACTCCCAGCTTCCTTGTTCCCCCTTTTTTTTTAATCCCTCAAATCCTTCAAATCCATTTCCAGACATTCTAGCTACCTTGTCCTTCCTACATTTTCATATGGACTCGTATACCCCTAGATACTGCAAGGAAACAGTAAATTTAGCTAAAGTTTTTCCAACAAATGAATCCAACAAACTTTAAAGTCTCAATGATCTCTCTGAAGGATCTGCTTCCGTAGGCCCTCCAAGACCCTTGAACACACTGGGTGGAAGTAATAATCCCAGTTGATGAGCACTCTATGACCTTTCTGCTAGACTCTTAAACAACTTGCACCACTGTTAACACTTTACATTATCCCACCGTAATCCCTCAGAGTAGACAAACAATCTCTGATGGGATCAGACAACTTACACTTTGATTTCACTCTTTCTAAACTAGTTTCTGTATCTCTTCAACCTCACAAAACCCAACATAGGTTTTTAAGGCCTGTTAATCTATGAGGAAGAGATTTACTTAATAATTGGAGTGCTGATATTTGATGTTCACCCTAAAGAAATAATCCTAGAAATCCTGGACTCCCTCATCCGTGCTGTTGTTCCCCAAAACATTTCTGATAGATAACCCAGTTTTCTGGCCCTTTTCACAGCTCTCCAAGCCCTAGACAGTCCCCACATTCAGAATACACAAATTCATTGTTCTGAGTCCATTTGGGTTTCATAAAATGTATTGAGAAACAGAGCACTTGAAAAGGAAATGGTCCCCATCATCCCCCTCCAGACATTTACACTTTGAGAGCTGAAGCATTTGAAGGCCTCAGACCTATTTTTCAAGGATTCTTGGAAAAAGACCTTCTGTGTATAATTCCAGCTCTTACAATACTCCTCTTCTCACAGTTTAAAAAAAAAACTTAGTATCTCTCCTTATCATATGTAGATTTGTTGATTTTTATTTCCAGCTTTATTGAGATGTAATTTACATATTAACGCCATGTAAACTTAAAGTATACAACATGATGATTTGATATATATATATATTATGAAGGTTAATACACCTATCACCTCACATATTTTACAATATTTTTATGTGTGGAGAATTTTTAAGATTTACTCTTAGCAACTTTCTTTTTATCTGCATCTAAATAAATTATATTTATTTGACAAAGAAAAGGGTGCAGGTACATAAGAATATGGAATTCAGGACAGTTAAAAAATACTGATATTCTTGTGCTATGCTCACACATTTAATGCTTAATATATTATTATTTTATTTTATTTTTATTTATTTTATTTTTAAAATGTATTTATTGTCAAGTTGGCTTCCATACAACACCCAGTGCTCATCCCAACAAGTGCCCTTGTCAATGTCCATCAACCACTTTCCCCTCTCGCCCACCCCCCACCAACCCTCAGTTTGTTCTCTGTATTTAAGAGTCTCTTATGGTTTGCCTCCCACCCTCTCTGTTTGTAGCTATTTTTATTTACCCTTCCCTTCACTCATGGTCTTCTGTTAAATTGCTCAAGATCCACATATGAGTGACAACATATGATATTTGTCTTTCTCTGACTTATTTCACTTAGTGTAACACCCTCCAGTTCCATCCAACGTTCTTAGCAACTTTCAAGTAAACAATACAGTATTGTTGACTTTAGTTACCGTGCTGTACATTAGATACCCCAGAACTTATTCAGCATTATGTAAGTGAAATAAGTCAGACAGAAAATGACAAATATTGTATGATCTCATGTATAAGTAGAATAAAACAAATCTTCAAAAGCAGAGTAGATTGGCAGTTTCTAGGGGCTCTAGGGGGAGATGTTAAAGGAAATGGGTGAAGATACCATGAAGGTAAAATGAAAACAAATTATATGAGCTCTTTGCCTATTTTTCTAATCGGAGACACTTCCAGACACCATCCAGAGGAGAAAATCTCAGTGAATTGAGGAGATAGAGATTGGGAATACTGAGGCCGCTCAAATTGTAGGATAGAGAGATAAAGTACCAGAAAGGAGAGGTTAAATAAAGAAGAGTCCCAGAGGCCTGCCCAGAGGACTTTTTAAACTCTAAGCTGTTCATTTTTAGTGTAAGGCTCCAGAGGCCAGCCAAAGAATGACTACCAGGGATCTTTAGGTGGAATAAAAACTGAATTTCTGAGATACAGGAGTTTTGAATAATCACAGAAAATAGACTCCATTAAACTCCTGTGGTATTAAGTACTGACCTCCAGAGAGATTACACTTTAGGGATGGTGCTAAAGGAAAGCTACAATAAAAGGTATGCTAAGATTCATCTGTATAGCCATAATAGCAGTATTCTAAAAATTCAGCCATATCCAAAGTAACTGATATATTTGCAAGAAACAAATAAACAACAAATCAACACTATTTAAAGAAGGTAATAAAATCTAATCATGAGTTTGGCCTTATAAAATGAGCTGGAAAAAGGATCAGTGGTTTCCAGGGTTGGGTGCAGGGAGATGAATAGGTAGAGCACAGGGGATGTTTAGGGCAGGGAAAACACTCTCTCCATAATAATAATGGTGGATACATGCAATTACACATCTGTCCACACCCATAGAATGTGCACCAGCAAGAGTGAACCTTAATGTAAACTATGGACTTTGGGTAATTATGGTATTTCAGTGTAAATTCATCAATTGGAACAAATGTACCATTTTGATGGGGGATGTTGATAACGGAGGAAGCTATGCATGTGTGGGGTCAAGGTATAAAGGAAATCATGGTATCATCCCCTAGTCTTTCTGTGAGCTTAAAACTGTCCTTAAGAAGCAATCTTAAAACAATAACAGAATGTAAAATACCTCCTAATATGATATCAAACAGTAAATTGTAGGAGGTGTTTGGAGTAACAGAAAGAAAAGAATGCTAAGATTTATTTTCTGGTGAGTAATTAGTTCCACATATTAGTGAAGAATACATTCATATGTCTATGTTAGACATTTAATATTAACCATTAGAAGAGAGTTGTAATGTATGGCTTCCAAACAAGCAATAATAATAACAATGTACAATTTTAGACAATTGAATCATAAGAGCTTGTTAAGAAACCTTAGCATTGCCTTGCAATTTGTTTCAAAACTTTAATACATTAAGAACAACACAGTATCAAGATGTTCCTCACATGTACATGAAAAATCAAATAGGACTTTAAAAATTTATATTTCTCATGTTTATAAGTAATTTAAGAGGAATGACAACAGCAACAACAAGTACTAGAAATTTCCCAATTCAGTTTGTATACCAGCATTAACCAGGGAATGTGAATGCAAAAACAAAAATACGGACCACTATCACTTGTCAACGTTTTAGGCCGAATCATATGAAATTGCCAATTTCATAGATCGAATAAATGAATGCCAGCCATTTCAAATGTTTCACCTTCTTTAGGTCCAGATTTAATTAAATATAATGAGAAACACAACTATATTAGCATAAACGATTTTAACATGATATTTTTAAGTTTATAGAAACAAATCAATATGTGCCAACTTTAGAAAATATATAAGCACACCTTGTTAATATATTAAAAGATACAAAAAAGCATAGAACAATCTCAATAGATGCTAATAACAATAGCAAACAATCATACAATCGCCAAAACAAATCATGGCTTAGGTAAGTAGCGACTTTATTTTGAAAGGCTCTTCTAACAGAGAGAACACTATGACTTTAGGATTGCTAGTGTCTCAAAATTAAAAAGAGAAAAGATTTCTCTTTTATAGGCAGAGGAAAGCAAAACCGGCAGGAACTTTGTAGAGAGAAGGGCAAGCAGTCTGGGTGAGCAGGTGGCAAAGTCAGATGCTTCAGCAGGAAATGTTTCTTTCCTCTTTCCGTGGCCAGTAGATTCTTGGGATGAGCTATTAAGGGGCATGGGTGAAACTTAGGGTGTGCCAGTTTAGGGCTGAAGAGGAAGACAGAAGCCTGACTAAAGTTAGTCAAGCCAAGTGAGTGGTTAAGGAATGGGGAATTGTGAGCATTTGTAAGGACTATGTACCAGGCATTGTCCTATATGCTTTAAAAAAAAAAAAAAAGACTATAGTCATTTATTTATTTTTTAAAGTTTATTCATTTTTGACAGAGAGAGAAAAAGAGAGAGAGAGAACAAGGCAGAGAGAGAGAGAAAGGGAGAAAGAGAATCCCAAGCAGGATCCTCTCTGTCAGAGCAGAGCCCAACACGGAACTTGAATTCACAAACCTGTGATATCATGACCTAGCTGAAATCAAGAGTCGGTGGTATAACCAACTGAGCCAGGCACTCTATTTATTTATTTTGAGAGAGAGAGAGAGAGAGCAAGAGCGAGCGAGTAGGGGAGGGACAGAGAGGAGACAGAGGGTCTCAACGAGGCTCTAAGCT